TGCTTCCCAAACAGAACGATACATTCTGACAGCATTTGTGTAGAAATATATCCGTATATTTATTAATAAAGCTGCAATTTCGACATTATTCTGACAAATTATTCTGCCGAATAATGTCTTATTTTGAAAATACAGATGTTGTGCTTGTGTCTATTCCTGTTTGTGCGACGTAATCTTTAAAAATTTACTCTTGCGCTGCTCCGGCGTCCGGCAAAAATAGGATCTGTTCTAATTTTGACGGATCACCGTCCGCTCACCACCGCCGTGCACAGCCAGTGTAAAAACTCATCGATTATAATGGGTGCGTATTTACTGCTGAGGTCGGACCGGAGCGGAGACGGAACGCAAGTAGTGTAAATTGCCTCTTAGAATAACTTAAAAGTAGGATTCAGACTAAATCTCAATGGGTTATCCTGATTAACAAAACAAATTAAAGCAAATCTCTGGAATCACTCATGATTTCACAATAATCCAGGTGTCAAAAATTAGCTTAAAAAGCGGAAATATGAACATGTTGAGGTCCTTTTGACCAAATTTGACTTAATCCTCAGTTTGATGTGATTGGTCACACATAATATTTGATGAAATGATAAAACTTGACAGACAGTTCAGGCAGAGCTGGAAATAATGGTGTTCATGCTAAATATGTCCCCTTAAAGCATGTTTAATTTCTACTATCAGGTTATGAATATTTTCCTCACCTCTAATTTGTTACAACAAAAGAGAAAATTTATCAAATGGTTTCCTGGGTTCCAGGATTACATTTAAAACTTTTAGCACCACAACAACCCTACAAACAATATGTGGCTTTAAAAACAAAACGTGATTAAAGTGGATAACTGTCTAATTCTGACCTGAGGGGATTAGAGAGACCTATGTAAATTTAAACTTTATGTTGTATAATCATTCTGACCTGGAAAAGGAGGGGTTCAGCTCCATCATTATAATAATGACATCCATGGCCACGATGAGGTGTGTTCTTACCTTCATTTCATCRAGCAGCTTGAGACAGGAAGCATACTTGGACTCATAAAACTTGAAGATGATGTCTCGGATCTGAGGTTCTAATTCCAGAAATAACTTAAAGGAGCTGAAACCAGAGACAAAAATATGTGTGAATATCAGAAAAGTTGTTATAAGGCATTTGAAAATAGTTCCTTTTAAGCTTTTCAACAATTAAACCAGTCTACCTGCTAGAGATGACGTTACGTTGGAGCTCCTGCCTGTCAAACGTGGCCAAGGCACACAAACCCCCGTAGACTGCAACATTACTGGGTGACAACAGCTGCAACACAGAAATACACACACTTCACTGATTCCCACAAACACAGACTGTCTACAGCAGCAGCTCAGACAGAAACTAACTGCATGTTACTGGACTTCATATTTGTTTCAGGAGAAACATCAGCTCACCTCTGGGCAGTCACAATGATCAAACGAAGCCTGCAGGAAACATTTGGCAGCTGGTTTGTATTTTCTGGAAGCCAACTCAGCCAGACCTGAGAAAAAAAAACATCATCGACGCTTAGACTCATGGAGAGTCAACTATCAGAAAGTCTTGCTTTTGTTCAGTGACCAGGCTGTTGAATGGATTATGGTACGTTTACACCAAACACGTTTTGAGCATCAGGAACATCTGGTTTACATGCAAAGTCAATGGTGGATGCGCATCTAGGGGCGTCTAGCAGCCAAGCAGCGCGTCTGGCAGCARTGAAGCAGCGCGTTTTGAAGAGTTTCGCACATCTGGAGCATTTTCGGATGGTGCGTCACGTCCCAAGCGGCCGSCGCGTGAGTTGGAAAATCTGAACTTTGGCTGATCGCCGTGTCGCATCAACCAATCATAGAGAGACTCTGTTCAGTCACATACTGGTGACGAGCTGGAAATACTGGAAGCCCGGGAAATCGGATCACACAAACAATGGAGGACAAACTGATAGTCCGATCATGATCATTCCAGTGTCCGTTATCGTGATAGAAATAAAAGTGACTTTACCTGGAGGATGATTAGTGAGGAAGTCGGCATGTTTGGTAAGTTATCGAAACTACGGTTTAAAAAGGCTCCTCCCCTCGAGCGTCTAAAGAAGCGTGTCTACGTTCACATCAAATGCGTCTGTCCTCACTGGACACCAGCATCAGGATGCTTGCGTTTTGAGATTTTTGTAGGCGCGCAACGCGTTTGGTGTAAACTATCAGTAGCATTAGTCCAAACTGTGGACAGACTGATGCCTTCAGCAGCCTCAGCACTGAGACACAATGGGCCTCATGCAAGAACCGTTCGTACGCACAGATTTGTTCTTAAGTTGTGCGTACGAGTGATTTAGGAGAATTTGCGCAACGCTGTGTCTTCTGAATAAATGAAAATGATTTAACACAGTAGTTTATACTTTTAGCAGCTCTTTTTATTCCACAGCTGACCTGCTAAAAATGACAGATTTTCTTTTCTGGATCTCTGACAGACGGACTTCAATCTCTGAACTCGTAAAATTTTCTTTTTTTAGTTTTCGCTGTCATTTTCATGAATGAATGAACACTTGTATCTGAGACAGGAAACATAGCCTTACATGGTGTTTTTGGGGTG